GTGGTAGTGTCCAGGGTCACTGATGAGGAGTGGAATTTTCCGAAACTAGTCTGGCTCACAGAAACACACCCCAGTGAAAGAATAGACCATGCCAATCCTTTTCTTGTTGTAAAACAAATTTTTAAACAACTCTATTTATTCAAAGATGAATACTCTAGCCTGATGTCCTATATTTAATATAATCTGGATCAACTCATTAGTTAAGCATGTTAAGTTGAGGTTTCTTACGAAATACTGTTCTAACTGGAACCTGTGCCCGACCACAGAAAATAATAACTGGAAAATTATGGTAACAGCAATAGACTATATGACTTGTATTATATCCGTTCAAAACTGTTTTTCATCCTGTTTTTACGATTTCTTTCTATGTTTGAGAGTACTGCGATATTATACACAAGATGTTCCATAACCAGTGATGAAAATGGGGTACACGCCGTGTACCTAGTTCTCAGTTTGTATTTTTTCCCCATTGAAGTTTAGGACCACTGAAGATGTTTATTAACTCTATCGTAAGGGGTCAAAGACCATGTCATCGCGTTTGTTGACTTATTTTATTGAACTACTATTTTATGAATTTATGTCAATAAGTTTGGTATTAAATTGTAGATTATAATCCAAATTTTAGTATTATACATTAGTTAATTTCTTAATTTAAAAGTAACTATTATAAGAACACACCTAAATATCAATTTTTGTGTGTCACGTGATATGTTGAATGCAGCATTGGTTCAAATTAAATGTTTGTGATGTCCAAATACAAAGTTTATAGTTTCTTACGAATTAGGAACTCAGATTACCGATATTAATAAGGTAGAATATAAAATATGAATCTCCTATCTTTTCTATTTGCATTTCTATACCTATCACCCCACTGCTCCTTCTAAGCGTGTACCTAGTTCCTAAAACCCATTTCCTTTCCTGTCCATAATTTTAAAAAATCACTAAATTGAACACAAAATAAACTATTTTCTATATAGTTCCACATCTTTCGTTGTTGAAGTACGATCTAAACAAGCTATTCCTTCTCTTATGGTTTCAGATAAGGACTTAAAAACGAAACAACTAAATACAATATGTGGTTTACTAGTATAAAAAACACCACGTTTTGGTCGTTATTTGTTTTTAAGGTTTCCTGGCTACACTTTCATTGGAGAACCAGATACAGCTAAAGTAGCTGCCGTCATTGATACACGTTATTCTCCTGAAGCGTTGAAAGGTGTTGTAGAAGATATCTACATGTTATCGAAGACGGACTTATTGATCTGCACCTTTTCGTCACAAGTGAGTATCATTTCATTAACAACATTCTTAATCGGTGCTGCTTTAAAAAGTGTTAGCAGCCTTACTGTGTTACTTTTCATTTCCTATTTATAACTATTTGAAATCGGTATTGTGAGCTGTTACAACGTGATATACAATGTTGACTGTGTTAGTAAAGTTAGACGGTCAATGTTCATTTATACTTGTCTTCTGAACAGAAAAGATTAAGATGGGAAATTTTATAGTATTTTGGTAAATAATAGCGATCTCATAAAGTTAAATAAAGACCCCACTAGGACTAGTGAAACTACGCTGCCCAGATATTTACTTAAACTGAAATAAGAGGAAATTTTGAATTAATGTGAATTGAAACAGATGTATTGAATCACACGCACGGTTTTTTTTATACGGTTGCAAGATTTCGAAAAAAAAATTGTTCAATATGGTCTCTAATTTAGGTGTATAACATTATAACTTATCTAATTCTAAGTACAGTTTCTTCAGCTACTGATATCAGCTGTGAAAGGTAGTTTTAAATTCTTAAGGCATTTAAAAAAAATGCTGAAATTTTGATTAAGACGCTTTTACAGCTAGTTTTGACGTTGAATCATTATATATTAACTTTCGTGTAGAAGAAACAGTAGACTTATGTAATGAATTATTTTTTTACTTTTTCTGATGTTGTGAGTTGTTTAACAACTTCGTTTTTCTAAATTAACATTATTTTGTGAGTTGTTTAACAACTTCGTTTTTCTAAATTAATGTTACTTTGTGAGTTAATTAACAATTTCGTTTTTCTAAATTAATGTTACTTTGTGAGTTGTTTAACAACTTCGTTTTCCTAAATTAACATTATTTTGTGAGTTGTTTATCAACTTCGTTTATCTACATTAACGTCATTTTCTACAAAGAGTCCAATGATCACATCTTAGTTTGAGTGATGAAACCTATCACTAGACTGATTAAATCTGTATGGTCATAACTAGTATCAAGAATGACTAAGTTATTCTTATGCTTTTATGGAAAACGTTGGTCCAACACTTTGAAACCACTATATTTCAGGAGATATCTTAATGAAAACTTTGACATAGCAAGCATGTTAATAGTAGAAAGGGAATCTGAATCGAGGTTACCTTTTTTAGATACAGTTGTTTACAACAATAATAGAAGTTTTAACATTAGAGTTTATCGTGAATTTATTTTTACATGATTGCATATATATCATCACAGAGTGATACCCACAATTTTTCATTTGAACTTAATTAAGAATTTTATTAATCAGATATACAGAAAAACTAATAGTTATGAACTGCTTCATGATGAATTACAAAATATTAGAGAAATATTATTGTTACGTTTGTAATTTAGATTTCTCGATATATTCTTTATATTTATTTTAAACTCTAAAAAGGAACGATCGTGCTCTAATGGTTAGCTGTTTGTTTGTTGCATTTCGTGCAAAGCTACTCGAGGACTATTGCACTAGCGGTCCCTTATTTAGAAGTGACAGACTAAAGTTTTTGGTTTGTTTAAAATTTCGTGCAAAGCTACTCGAGGACTATTGCACTAGCGGTCCCTTATTTAGAAGTGACAGACTAAAGTTTTTGGTTTGTTTAAAATTTCGTGCAAAGCTACTCGAGGACTATT